GCCGTCAACAGCAGTGGGGCGTGATGAGTCAGCGATAACGGGTTTCCACAGTGGCGCTAACACCCACTACAATACCTTTGTCGTCACTGCAAGGGGTGTCAAGAAATTGAAAGTAGATATGGCTTAGTTGATGAACGATCACCTGACCGCAAACAGAACTCATCTGTCCCGCTCTGCCTTGGGACTCGACTGTGGCCCTTAGAGGTGTAGCAGCAGATAGTATTGCCCTCAAAGACACGGCAGACTGGAGTGGTTCTGTGTATGACTACCTGACGATGGCAAATAAGCTATAACTGGCCACTCAAGCCTCCCTTGTCATTGTCGGCAATATTATCTGCCTAGATATGACTTCCTTCAAGAGGTGTCACATGTACATTCCAATAATACATCAACTAAACTTAAACCATTAAACAGTTCAAGTTGATAATTGGACCATTTACGGCTACCGGTTCTGATGGTTGATTTTTCGAAAGACTATGTGATAGCCTACTATTAAAATAGGGACATATTGCTGTCCAGCTCATATTACGTCCTGCCTTTATTATGAATACTGAATGTAAATCCGACCGTCAATTGACTATCAACTATACCTTGGCGTCGCTTTATTGCGACTGATAAAAATGCTCTCAAATGGGCATAAGTGCTGGCATCATCAACTCTGTAGCTGAGCTGAAACAAAGCATTGATTTTTTCTTGAAAGTAAAACAGCCAAACTCGCATTTATTTAGAAGAAATTTGACTCCTTGGTGGCAATACCGGGCAGAAGTTTCGCGTTAAATTGGTTCCCTTGGGCATGTGAGCACCCAAAATTTGTTTATGGTCTTCTCAGCTGCAGACGCTGGCGAAAGACCTTACTAGAAATAAAATCAAGCATTCCTGCCCCCAAGTACTTTTTGGAACTAAGAAACCGAGAAATGTTTAAATTCCCAGGTACCGATAGAAACCTTGAAACCTGTTAACTAAAAGAAGAGGATTAAACGAGTTTAACAATTTCTAGATTATTCCGATAACGTGAACATCCCCTGTGAGATTCTGTAAAAGGTACCGTATTCGAGGGCAAATGGCTATCTCGGTAGGCAATAGGTTATAATAATGCAAGGTCATAGGGAAGCCGTAAAGTTCCGTCTTCTCGTGATAAAAACTCTTCAAAAAGTACCCATCTTGATCCAGCAGTCAGGTGCATATGGACTTGGCTGACAAATTAAATCCCTCCTTCGGCGGATGAAGAGTATAAGTTTGCACCCAGAATGGCAACACGATTTGGAAGCCCACGAATGTGATCACTTACAAGCAGGCATAATTCTGGAAAAGAGCACATCTGTGCAAAGACGCCACTTTCACAAGTCTGCTCGTAGACTAACGGCGAAGGCTAAAGGTGGAAGAAACACTCCTTTCTTCCCCTCATTTGTAACAATCGCCTATCTTAAAAACTATCGGAATGCAAGGTTATCATTATTCGACGATTATTTGCTGCCATACCCTACCTGAAAAGCACAGATTCTGACTTTTGACCGCCGCCAAAAATGGCATGTCTAAAGCCACCGTAAGGCCATCGAACTAGTACTTAAATCCTCTTGCTCATAAGGAGAGTGCGACCATACGAAGAACTCCCTGGGATACCAAAGTAGTTCCTAAACACCAACGATTTATCGGTCACACGCCACCTTATCGTACACAGCTGCTGGGACGGTGAGGATGGAAGATAGACTATAAAAGTACAAACCAACTATCGAGCAGTATAGGCACATGTTCAGCTTTTATAGAACAAAAGGTTTCGACAGAGCTGACCACATTATTACAGTGCTAGAGCGCTGGTCTGCCAGTGGGGTAACACATACCGCCTTGGAGACTCGGCATCGAAAAAGAACGCTTCAAACCATGTTGACAACCACCTTGCCTTCAAACAGTCTATCCGGCAGCGGCACCTGTGCTGTTGCATGACCAATCAGACATAACAGAGCTGAAATCCCAGCCGAGAGGAAGCCTTCCGCTCAAACGGTCGTCTTTCTCCGAAAAAGTGTTTCGCAG